CCCTTGTTCTTGAAAACTCTAAGTGGGAAGGCACCTTTATCTTCTCCATTCTCCAATGAGAGGCTATATAGGCAATATTTCTGTCTTGGTGGAAAGGAGAAGGGGTAGATGGGGGGGAGTCTGTAGAGCTTCTTCCTTTAGCTGATTGATTTATCATCACAGTATCATACCTTTTCAAGAGTGTCCTGCAGTAGGGTTCTGTTGACTGCAAATGTTGTAGAATCTATCATAGACAGTTTTGGTGGAATTAGCAGAACTATAGAGAGAAGAGGGCAGAATTGCAGAAAATTGGAGCTATAGCATCTATTATTTCATAAGGGGACGTCTTCAAGATCCCATATTGGGCCAAATATTTTCCATGTGTCCCTCCATAGCTTATACAGATCCTTCTTTGTCCCTGCTACTCTCTACTTAGGAAGGATGTCCCATATGGATTCTATCAACAAGCTCCAATACCTTCTAGCTTCTAGTTGGGTCTAGTCATGATAGGAGGGAGGGAGAATGAGTTCAAGGTATTTATTTCTGATATTCCTCCTTTGAGGTCAACTTGGGCTGTTTATGTCTTTTGACAGGCTGTCACTATTCCTCTGAAGGCAGTTGTTACTATGTAAGCCTCTGTCCTTTTGAGTCCTGGTGACCTTCCCCTTCTGCCTCCCATCAGGTCTGGGGGTGGTGATTTCTCTGTTGCTTTAAGTCCCAAGTGTCTTCACTATCCCAGTGGTTTACCTATATTCCACCTTTGTAATCAGTCTCCTTATAAATTAACCCTCTTGAAATTATTTTGAGTGTGCTCTGTTTTCTCTTGGGACTATGACTAATACACACACCATTCTACAAATTGAAAATGAAGAGGAAATGGCAATTGGGGCCACATCAACACACATCTTATTATGCAGCCCTTCATCACAGCCCTCTGGACTATCTTATGAGTATTCTCTGTCACTTTCTTAATTTCTTCCTCAACCATTGACTCCTTCAGTGACCTCATAAACCAAGCAGAGAATAAAGCTGGAGCCAATTCAAAACCAAGCCACAAATGCTCAATTCATTTTCCCACTCTTCCCAGTATTCTTCTCTACTCTCACTGCTCTTGGTGCTGTAGACTGTGAGATCCTCAATCAAAGGCAGAGGTTTTATCTTAGTCTCTTTTTGCTCCAAGAGCCTGGAACATGAACGTGTAAGCTCCCATAAATGCTAAACAACTGCTTTTATAATGAATACATGGAAGATGGGATTAAGGAAATGACTAATTATTAAACCTGTTTCCAAGCAGACCAGGGCTGGTCTCTCCCTTCTTTGGGGATGCTCAGCGCTTTTCTTACCTCCATGCACAACATTGCTGCTGCATTATGACCAGTCATGTCTTGGTAAATGGTTTTTGTTGTTGTTGGTTTATAACAGCTTAATTGAGATATAATTCATATATCATACAATTCATCTATTTAAAGTGTACAATTCAATGGATTTTAGTATAGCCACAGAATTGTTTAAGCAGCACCACAATTAATTTTAGAACATTATTTTCATTATCTCAAAAAGAAACCCTGTACCTATTAGTGGTCTTCCTCTTCGTCTCTGTCTCCCGTCTCCTCATCTCCTGACAACCCCTAGTCTACTTTCTGTCTCTTTGGATTTGTCTATTGTGGACATTTCATATAAATGAAATCATACAAAATGTGGTTCTTTGTGAATGACTTCTTTCACTTCGCTTAAACTTTTCAAGGTTCCTCCAAGTTGTAGCCTATATCAGTACATGTATACTTCCTTTCTATTATGGCCAAATAATATTCCACTTTATGGCTGTACCACTTTTTATTTATCCATTCATCAGTTGATGAACAATTGAATTGTTTTCACTGAATGTTGTTAAATGTTTAACAACTAGCACTCTGGAAAAAAAAATCCTGATTTGTAGCATTTGTTGATTTCTATCATACAAATACTCCCATCATGGATGACTGCAAGCTACATAATGTCACTGAACATGGAGTTGAGAAGAGATGCTAAAATGGGCTCTGTGAGCCCCTGCAAGCGAGTTCCAGCATACCACTTTGACCATCTTTGCTGATGTTCCACTCAAGTTACTAGAGATGTGATCACATGCAGTGAGGTTTCCATACACTATTCACTGTAGGATGATAACAATGATAACATAAAAGTAATACAACAGCTAACATTTATTGAGCACTTTCTATGTATCAGGCACTGTCCTGATTGTTTTTTAAAATTTAATTCTTGATCACCACTATTTCTTTAGCAGCCTACATCTCCAGACTACCAATATTCTGTGCTTGATTCACTGTCTCCTAGGTGGTCTTCCTCCTGTTTCTTAAATACTCCAAATACATTGCATCTCTCAACTCTGGCACTTGCTTCCTCTGCCTGGTACATTCTTTTTCCCAGATATCAACATAACTCATTCCCTCATTTCCATCAGATCTCTGCTCAGGTGTCCCCTCCTCAAAAGAGCCTTTCCACTACCTCATCCCTTTATCTAATCCCTTGCCAAGTTTTGTTTTTCTTCACAGCACTTATCACAATGTTCTCTTATTCTGTATATTTATTTTCTTCTTTGTGTATTGGCTGTCTCCCCACCTTCTCTGTGAAGGCAGAGTCTTTGTTTTGTTCACGGTTGCATTTTCAGTGCCAAGGCCATGTTCTTAATCATGCTAAGCTGGGAAATTTGGAATTTTTGAGTAAGAGCCTTTCTTTCTCCCGTGTGCAACTTCTGGTGCTGTTAGAGGAGTGTTTAGAGAACATTCTGCTCCAGCCCCTGCATCTCTATTACTACCCTAAATCCTGGCACCCATAAGACTCAGCTGACACAGGTGGAAGACAGTCCGGTGATGTGGCTGAGAGCGTGCCTCACTCTGGAGCCAAACTAAATGGATCTGCACCCAAGCTCTGCCGTCCACTGACTGTGCACCCTGGGTATGTTACTCAACTTATCAGAATTTCTCCATCTTGAAAGTATGAGAAGACTCCCCACCTCCTAAGTCTGTTGCGAGGATAAACTAATCTTTTAATTTAAAGTGACCAATGCTGGGGTGCCTGGGTGGCTCAGTTGGTTAAGTGTCCAACTCTTGATTTCATCTCAGGTCATGATCTCAGGGTCATAAGATCCAGCCCTGCATCTGGCTCAGCACTCAGCACAGAGTCTGCTTGAGATTCTCTCCCTCTCCCTCTGCCCCTCCTTCCTCCCCGCCCCAGGCGCATGCTCTCTCTTGCTCTCTCTCTCTCAAATAAACAAATAAAATCTTAAAAAAAAAAACCCATAAAGTGATCAGTGCTGGGCGCCTGGCTAGGTCAGTAGGTAGAGCATGCTGATCTCAGGGTTGTGAGTTCAAGCCCCATGTTGGGTGCGGAGCCTACTTAAAAAAAATAAATAAAATGATCAATACATAGCAAGTACTTGATATACCTTGTCTGCTTAGCTCTGAGGACATCTTCAGCAGTAATCTTTACTTACTGTGTTAGGTCATCTGTGGGTGCCTGCCACATGGAAGCACTGTAAAGTCACTGCTTGCTTCCTCTCTAGCTCTTTTCTATTACCCTCGTTGCTGTCATTCTGTAAGAATATGTCTAGATTGTCTTGCTGTACCAGGGAACTAGATAGTTCCCAGTCTGCTTTTGTTTCTCACCAAAGAAGAGAGCTTTGAGCATCAAGAAAGTGTTATCAGCCTGCTGTTCTTTCCTGGAAAATCACCTACATTTAACCACTAGGTTTGGAAAAGGCCCAAGGGAAACTTGATGTTATTCTCGGTCTAAATAGCTGAGACAAGCCAGATCTGGAGCATCCCTAGGTCTGGAGAAAGAAAAGCTTCCCACAGAGGAAAAAACTTTACCCGCAAAGACCTAGGATGTTGGTAGGAAGGGAAGCATTGGTGGCCTTGCCAGACTGGGGAAAGAAGGAAGAGATGGTCAGTCATCCATGAAAAGAAGAGAAACCACCCATAACAATCAGGACTGCCCTTAAGACCGCCTTGCTATACGCCCCTGCTAGGCAAGGTCACCCTAATCCAAGGGACTGTGTTTTATACCCTCCCTCCATGTATCACCTTTCCCCACTCTCCCAGGTCCATGAATTTGGTTAAAGTCATAAGCTAATGGGTAACTTCATTTGCTAATTTCGGGGAAATCCAGTTCCATTAATATTTACTGAAAGCCCACAGGAGCTGGGCAGTGTTAGCGGGCAGTCCCAGGAATCTTAGGAACCAACAATCCACAGTCACATCCCAGAAAAATAATCCTCCCTTTCTCTGAGCATCCTCATTTCCTTGGAGTCAGCTTCTGGGTCTGATGCCTGCAAAACACCAACACTTCCTCGTACTTGGGTTCCCACTGGGCTCCCCTGGGGCCTCCTGGAAACGCTGGAGGATTAAGGGGCGGGGAATTGGGAGGGCTGGGGAGGTAAGGATGGGAGGACGGGGAAGAAACCAGGTGCGTTTCCCCCTTTAATCGTGTTCCAATTAGGAGTCGGCCGCGTTCCCAGGCGCCGATTCCGGCGGTCCAAAGTCTCTTCCAGGAACCGCCGGGCATCCTGGGCGGTGGACTCCGGCTGGTCCGGCGCCCGAGCCTTCCTCCAACCCACCCCCGCCCAGCCGCGGGCTCCGTGCCTCTCTCAGGGGCGTGTCCTGCCCTACCTCCCTTTTCACAGTGGTCCACTCAGCCGGGTACGGCGGCAGCGGGCGGCGGCAGCAGCCGGAGCCAGAACAGCGATAGCTCGGACTTTCCAGACTGGAACTGTGGCCACGGCAGCAGCTCAGTGGGGGCACCTGTGCGGAGCAGGAGTAGCAGGACGAGGGGGTGGGGTTCTTACCAGCCACTCTCCGAGCCCGAAGGAAGGGGCCCCTCCCAGCTGAGATTCCTCTGCTCCGCAGAATCTCGCACGGAGCTGGGAAGACTGGTGGGGTTAGACATGTGCAGCACCAGCTAGAGGACTGGGGTAGGTAAACGTTTGGTCCGAGTGTAGAGAGGCCGTGAAAGCTGTGTCTGGGACCATGACAGCCTCCCGCCTGGACTTTGGGGAGGTGGAAACTTTCCTGGACAGACACCCAGAGTTGTTTGAAGATTACTTGATGCGGAAGGGGAAGCAGGAGATGGTGGAGAAGTGGCTGCAGAGGCACGGTGGGAGTCAGGGGACGGTAGGCCCGAGGCCCGCAGTGGCCGGCACCAGCAGCTTGGCTCACAGTGGTGGCAGAGGCAGCAGCAATGTTGCTGGTGGCACTGGACCAAATAGCTCGGCCAACAGCCAGCCCGCTCCGGGTGGCGCGGACTGTGGTGGGGTTCCCCTGAGTCCCAGCTGGGCCAGTGGCAGCCGGGGCGATGGGAGCCTGCAGCGGAGAGCTTCTCAGAAAGAGCTCAGGAAGAGTTTTGCTCGCTCCAAGGCCATTCACGTGAACAGGACCTACGATGAACAGGTGACCTCCCGGGCCCAGGAGCCCCTGAGCAGTGTGCGGCGGAGGGCACTTCTCCGGAAGGCCAGCTCCCTGCCCCCCACCACGGCCCACATTCTCAGTGCCCTGCTGGAATCGAGGGTGAATCTGCCTCAGTACCCCCCTACGGCCATGGACTACAAGTGCCACCTCAAAAAGCATAATGAGCGTCAGTTCTTCCTGGAACTGGTCAAGGATATCTCCAATGACCTTGACCTTACGAGCCTGAGCTACAAGATCCTCATCTTTGTCTGCCTCATGGTGGATGCTGACCGCTGCTCTCTCTTCCTGGTGGAAGGGGCAGCTGCTGGCAAGAAGAGCTTGGTCTCCAAATTCTTTGATGTGCATGCAGGAACCCCACTGCTGCCCTGCAGCAGCACAGAGAACTCAAACGAGGTGCAGGTCCCCTGGGGCAAAGGCATCATTGGCTATGTCGGGGAGCATGGAGAAACGGTCAACATTCCTGATGCCTACCAGGTAGGACTTTGCATTGTCCCCCTTCCAGAGCCCCACTGGCTTAGAAGCTAAGCCTTCTGTTACCCTTTGGCATCCAGGAACACATTAATTTAGATTCTTTACAATACTAATCTTGCTACTTAAATTCCTTCTGAGTTTAGACCGGTTAGAATGTTAACTACACCATCTTTGATGTAATGGTCTTTTCCAAACACACAGTGGTTTGTGAACAGTTCACATATCACAAGGACTACATTTTGCACTCATTAATATCACATGTTTCTCTATCAAGATTCCTTATCTTTAAGAATATCCCTGTATGGTTTTAGAATGCATTTGTGAGGTGCTTGGAAAAAAAAGTCTGCTCCAGAATACTAGTGTTAGTTTGAAGAAAATGGGATGTTGGTGTCTCTGATGTCTTTTGGGACTGTAATAAATTTCATTCTTTCAGAGTTGGATGGGAAACAAAGTACCAAACTACTTTCACATCCCTTAGCTTAAAGTTGCATACATTTCAAGGTAGGGAAGAACAGAGGAGGAAAATCAGAGGAAGAGTGGGCCTTTTTAATTGTTTCTGTTACTGAGTTTAGAAAGGTTGGACAAATAGAGGGATTATTTATCTTAAGGTTTGAATATAGCATTTTCTGCTGTCACCTTTTGATAGGACTGAGCACGTAGGTTTTTAGTTTGTGAAACAAACAAATATTGGTAATTTTCTTAGCAACTCCAGAGGCGATCAGCAGGGTAAACACGCTAGTTTCAAGTGGAAAAGGAAACCCAACATGCTGTTTTCTGGTATTTCTAAGCCTTTCATTTTCACGGCGATTTGCACTTAATATTAGATGCCAGATCCGAAAGCCAGTAAGTTCTAATTTCTTTAGTATCTATTCACTGAACATGATGAAACTGGATGTGCTTTCTATGAGACTTCTTCAGGGTTCATAAGAATTGAAAGTTCTTATCCTTGGTTATGAAAGTTTTGTGGTCATTTGATGAGCACTTCTTCCAGTGTCTAATAGAGCTACCTGTTTTTCTAGAGTTTGGTAGCTGTTGATCAGAATAGCAAAAGTGGTGGGAAGAAGACTGAGGGCAAAATTTTCTCCATTTCATCTGAAAGTTGACAATTTTACATAGAAAATTGACTGGCTTGGACTAAAACCAAGTTTCACATTTTTGTGATGCATCTGTCAGTATAACACTTTCATAGTCAGGGATGCCTGTCAAAATACCCTCTTCATTAACCTTTTGTTATTGATTAAGTGCCTTATTCATTGTACCCTCCTTGAAGACTGATAGTTTTAGGTCAAGCAATGCAATGAATGAACTTTCATAAGTGTTTGCTTCTCTGTGATCTTGGAAAGGCATAGGAAGAAAGGAAACATTTAATAGTTGGAATGTTGAAGATTCTGTAAGAAGTTGAACAATCACAAAGTATTTTCCTTCGCATTCCTTCCACATTTTTTTTTTTTGTTGGGCAAAAAAAAAAAAAAAAAAAAAAAAAAATCCCTTCCTAGTTGGATGGCACTTGTTAGAACCCAGAATTGCAGTCTATTCTCTTCATTGCCTTTACTTTTTCTTGTTCTTCCTCAGTTGATATTCTCCTATTTCTATGAGCTTTTATTTCTTGCTCTCCTCCCTCAACTCCCAGCTTGTATTTAATATTGTCCCCATAACCACCTTTTCTTCCAGAGCAGAATTCCCAGCTTTCTCAGCAGTTGACTTGCCTTCCTGCTGCCTGGAATCATGGCTAGAGGTGTTATCAGAGTTACAGACAATCGGGTTTGTAAGCAGCTGGTATTTCTTTTGGACCCTACTCGTACTCTGAAGACAGAATGAAAGCAAAGTTGCCTTTGATATCTGGAAGCTGACAGTGGGCAAGGAGAGTCCTCAGGGTGGCAGCGATGGCTGTAGAGAAGACAGGTTGTTGGGAGGACTGGCAAAAGGCAGGTAGGGGCAGGGTGTGATACTGGCTGAGAATTTGAGATCTGTCTGCATCATGCCTTGTCTTCATTTCGACCGGAAATGAAGAAAAGTTTCTCTTTCCTTTCACCACTGCTTCTACTATATATTTCTATATTTTTAACGTGGTGTGTCTTTCTTCACTTTTTAATGCTACTCTTCTTCAAAAACAATACTTTTTTTCTTTATTATGGTGCACCATAATATGTAGTCACCACTAGTATGACCTTGGGAGAATTTCTTAATCTCTAAGTCTCAATCTCCTCATCTGCAACATGGGAATAATAACATCTGTGTGGCAAAGATAAAAATAATTGTTTGGAAAATAAAATGGATATCGCATTATAGCCCCTAAAACAGTACCTGCCACATTGCAATTGCTCAGGAAATGGTAACAATTTATGATGATAATGATGATACTAGTCTGCTAGAATTCTTTTTCTTTATTTCATTTTCAATTCTTCTTCTCTTGACCAGGGACTGAGAGATGTGGACTCAGCACATTTTGACCAACCTACTCTTTCCCTGAGCCATGTTCCACCCTTAAATAAGTATTTTAGAACATCTTTACATTCAAGGAAGATAGAAATATCTCTACCCTTCTACTCTCTACTTCAGATTCCTCTAAATGTGATTGGTAACACTTGACCCTATCCTATCCTATCAAAAGTTTTATGCTTTGTTCCTTTTAGAAACTCATGCAATATAATTTTTACGGAGTTGTATTAATGCTGCATCCTTCCTAAATTCTAGCATTTCCCCCCCATCCTTTCCATTTCTGACTCTTATAGATTTCTCTTAATGAAAACCGACAACCTTTCAAATGTATGATCTTTTATCACAGTGTTGTTGTAATTCTGATCCTCTGTAAACATTCTGAAGTTTCTTTGTAAAAATATAACCATTCTTCTCTGATTTTTTATTACCTACTATGTTTTTAAGGTGTTTCTTGCTCAGATTCAACTAGCATTCTTTTTCTTCTTCGGGAGGTGAAATTTTTATGATACAACGTTTCAAAATTTAATCATCTGAAAATAAAGCTGATGATCCTCTTGGGTTTAGAATATGGGTGAGAGAAAAGCATTAAAGATACTTATGAAATTATGATAATAAGCAAGACATTCTGGAGTCAAGAGTAGACTATTTAATGAAATACTAAAGTCGAATACGAGTTCTGACAGCAAAAAAACTCCTTAGTTTATTTCATTACTTTTCATTACTTTCTTCAATTTGTCTAAAAAACAGACTTGAAATTAGAAGGAAAAAAATTGCAAGTGGAAAAAAATTCATTTTAGGTATCCAGTATGGATCATAGTGACTGCCATTTACCTTTTTTTCCCCTGACAGTTATAAGTTATTAAACAGCCCACTTTAATATAGTAATGAAAAAATTGCCCTCAAGAGGTTGAAAATAAGAGCACTCAAGTAACAGGTGTTCTCTTTGAGATTATTCTGAGCATTCAGAATATAGCACTTTAAACATTAATAAAAAGTGTGAGATGATATTTTTGTTAGTGTTGATAATGATGATACAGGTGTTTGATGGGCTTTGGGTCTGAAAAGCAGCCAGGATGTTTTGTTAGGTGACCTGGGAGGAGGAAAGGGGATGACGCAGAAGGGTTACAGGTGTGCCAGGGTTTCAGAAAACTGATCTGCTTACACTACAGATTCATTTATTCATTAGTTCCAACAAACATACACTGAGCGCCTATTTTACCTAAGACCTGGGTAGGGGGACTGTGGGTATACAAAAGTGAGAGGACATGCTTTTTTGCCCTCCAAACACTTATATTTGAGGGGCATATACTATAGACAAACAAGTATATACTAAGCGTTGTACTTAATAAATGTTGCAGATTAATGATTAGTCTCAGAGGAGAATGGAGTCCCATTGTGACTGGCCTCATGATGGAAGACTTCATGGAGTAGGTGCCATTCAAGCTGAAAAAAGGGTTAGATTTCACCGTTGGAGACGGTTGTGGGTTTGGGGCTCATGATCCAGGTGTAGTAAAATGGCTTCAGCCGAGACACAGTAATGAGCAAGCACAAAATGTGTATAGGGCACAGTGAATGGTTTCATTTGGCCAGAGTATTGTCCATGCTATAGAACGAGTATGCAAAAGTAAGATGAGGGCAAAAGAAGAAAGAACCTTGAATGCCTGACTAAAGAACTTGAATTTTACTAACAGTCGGTGACTAACAGTTACAGGGAGCCCTTAAAAACATTTTAGTAGGATCAGGGTGGTGTTTTGGGTAACCTGATGGCAGTGGCTGAATGGATTGAACAGGGGGAGGCTCAAAGCTGTGGCAATAATTAAGTCTATTATGATGATCTAGTGGAGCCATGATGAACAACTGAATTAAAGCAGGGACAGTGCAAATGGGCAGCAGGGGACAGATGGAAGATGTTCTGCAGGTGTGGAGTTGGGCTAAGAGGGAGGGAAGATAATGCCCTGGGTGATATGGAGAAGGGTGCTGCTGTTATCAATAACAGGAAAAGAAGCTGGGTGAGTAGAGATGCTAAGTAGAGCCAGCTATGTAATTTGTGGAGTGTAGTGCAAAATGGTAAAGCAGGAGCCTGGTTGGAGGTGAAGTTAATCTTCTCTTCCCAAGAGTATGTCGCCTCAACCCACAGCAGACATGCAACCCCCTAGTGATTTCAACCTCCATGCTGAGAAACTCTGTACCTGAATTGGGGGTAGGTAAGGGACCCTCACTGAGTTCCCTACCTAACTGGTCATAATGCTGCCAGCTCTGGGTGAGGATAACCACAGCCTTGCTCTTCTCTGTGAAGGCATGGGGCATGCACCTGACCTTCCCCACACTCCCACCCAGATCCCAACCAGGAGCAGAGGGCAATGGCAGATGTGGAGTGTGGCCTCTCACTCCACCAGGATGACATGGTTGTAGCCCCTGGTCACTGGGGAAGGGTGATGAGGTGGGAGGCCTGGGACACAACAGAGCATGGATAAATGACCAAGAACCGGTCCTGGGCAGGCAGTGAGAGCGAAGACTGAGTGTGAACTAAGGCTTCAAGATTTGGGGTCATATGCCCCTGTTCC